GAGGAGCAGATTGATTGTGCTGTACTAATATTCCCTTTGTGTTTTCTATGTTCTAGTAGTTTCCATTTCTGATTCAAAAAAAACACATAATAAAGGTAAATTTTAAAATATATAATATTTATTATATTTGTTTTATGATATAATTAAAACTTTTCATTATATCTTGGAAAAAAAATAAAAACTCCGGATACATGCATCCAGGCAGAAAGTGGATCTCTTTTCCAGTGCGCAATGTTGGGGCATTGCTTTGTGCCCTTGCATGGTGTGGAATCTTGGGTGCACTAATCGGTTTCCCGTTACAGAAAAGTGCATACAATAATCTAAGTATATGGATGAAAATCTTCTTGCTGTTACACAATATCATCGCGGGACTTAATATAAAATAAAGATTATATGAATGCAAAATAACTACATGCATGGTTGAATTTAAAAATGCTTAAATTTAACTAGATAATATTTAATATTAAATAATTTTATAAAAATTGAATTTAATATACTTTATTGATATTTTTTGAATGCATCTCATCCTTGCGACATGATTAACAGGATTTTTCAAATATTTCCCAACATAATTTTTTATTTCATTTTATTTCATATTCCAACGTCTTAGTGAGTATTTTTTTTTATTCATATTTATTTTCCATCAATTGTAGAATTGAAAATATGAGCCAAGCTTATCGAGCTATCTAGTTTAAACTCGTTTTCTTAGTCTCGAGCTTTGAAAATTCCGGTGATTTAGCATAAAAGGGCCTTGAGCCTGATCCGTATAAATCAGAAAAATAGGTTTGGACTATCCATTTAACTTTAAGCATGTATTTGTTTTCCTTTTTCAGAAGGATAAGGTATATTTATACCTTTAGATTAAATTTAGACATTAGAATATGTATTTCAATTTTAAAATTTAGATATGTATTATTCAATTTGGGCTTTAGAGCATTTTAATTTGTCCTTTAAAGCTTGAATATATGACACAACAATGTGAAATTTATTTTTTACAAAATGGACCAAAAGGATTACTACTTTTAAGAAAAACAAAATAAAAATGGACTTTTGACCCAACCTTTGCTTGATCAATAAAGACTAAGTTATAGGAAATTGCTAACTTTGCAAAAATAGGACTTCTGGGTCTAAGTTCGTAAGAGCCAGACCGATATGGGCATCCTAATCACTTGTTGCGTATAAGAATACAAATTCCAGGGTCAAAAGTCCAGTGAAGATTTCAGTGGAAAAATTGTAGGAAGAATTTCAATAAGGATTAGAGATCTGACTTAATTATTAGTTGGTCTCAAAAGTTTAAAATTTTAGTTCAATTCAAGAGGATTGAAGTGAAAATAATTTCAATAATGAAAAGACTAGAAGATCCTTCACTTGTTAATTTTGTCCGAGATATAGAATTGTTAATTGTTAATTGTCTTGCTTTACTAATTAATTTACCAATATCAGTTATAAATTATAAGACTTAAACATTAGTTGTTCAATCACAAGCAGCAACATCAATTATTAATTTGCTAATTCTATTTGTTAATTTATCAATATCAATTGTAAATGATTGATAAGTCTTGTAATTTATAACTGATATTAGTAAATTAACAAGTAGAGTTAGTAAATTAACAACTAATATTGTTGCTTATTTGACAAATTGATATAATTTATAACTAATATTGATAAATTAATAACTAACGATTCTGCATCTTAGATAAAATTAATAAGTGAAAAATACTTTAATCTTTTTACTATTAAAATTATTTTTACTTTAATTCTCCTAGATCAAATTGGAGTTTTAGATTTTTTTTTTTTAGAATCCACTAATAATTAACTCACATCCCTGCTCTTTAATTAAAATTCTCTCAAAATTATATAGTAGCTTGGGAGGGTTTGAATCTCTAAATATGCAATCTCTTTAACCTTGATGAGTAACCGCGCTCAAACGGAGGAAGCAATAAGGATGGGAAAAAAAGAAGAAAGACTTAAGGAACTTGACAAAAACCTTGGCGGAAACTGTTGCACTAATTTTTTTTTCCCTTTATTTTATTTATTTATTTATTTTAGGTTCATATCAAACAAATACGAAAGCAGATCCTCTCCACTGCTCGCCTCCCCCCCCCCCCCCCCAATCTCTATTTTTAGATTAGATAACAAATGCCCAGACTAATTCGAACCTTTATCATGTAAAACCATTATTACTAATAACAATCTCACAAATATCTTTAAAAAAGCCTTTGTCATATTTATTTAATATAATTGTATATCTCAGGACCTGAACTTGATACCACAAGATAAATTAATTCAATTCCTTCAATTAGATGAATCAAATACTCCTCAATAAAACAAACAAAGAATTTTAAACTATTGAAATTTAACATGTATAGTGTATAACTGCAATAAAATAAATAAACAAAAAAATTAATTTATAAATAATTTTCATAATAGTGTGCATCTGTGAACCGTGCATGTCAAATTTTTTTTAAGAAAATTAAATTTACATATTTTAACATGATAATTATTTTATAAAATAATTAAAAGTTAATATGTAATTTGAATCATAAACTATAAGTCCAGGAGTGATTTGAACCTTAAACTTTTAAAAGGTATATTTTAAATTTTAAATAATTGAAGTTAAGATAATTTCATCTCTATTGTTAAATTTCAACAAACGTTTATTAAATTGGGACTTAATCTGTGATTTTTTTTAAAATTTCACTCTCCCTCTCTCTTACTCCCATTTTGTAAAAATTACATATTAGACCACAATTTAATAAACATTTGTTTAAACTTAATAATATGGACAAAATTACTCCAACTTTAATTATTTAAAATTTAGAATGTATCTTTTAAAAATTTAATATTCAAATCACCTCTAAATTTATAATTTAAAATTTAAATTATATATTAACTCAATGATTGAATTTGTTGGTGAAAAACAACTAAATCAGAACTTCTTTGGGATGGAGGAAAGAAAAATGAGAAAGAGGATGAAGAGAATGCAGACCAACAAATATGCAACCAAAGTGCCCTTAGAGTCGTTGTCAATGTCAGAAATCCCGAAGCCTTGTGAAGTCATTAGTGCCACATGATGACACAACATGTACAATAAGAATTGTCACCACCGTCACACAAAATACTCTCTTTAATTTTATTTATAAATTATTTTTATTAACTTTATTAATATTAATATAATAAAAATATAAAAAATAAAATTTAATAAAGTTATAAATATAACTCTCAAAAAGTAAATAAATTATATAATATTATTTTTTATCTTTTTTCTTATTTCTTAAAAATAATTTAAATATTTTATTTAAAATAAAATATTATTATTAATTTAATAATTTATAAAATAAATTATTTTATTTTTTAAAAAGTGATTAATAAAGTGGATAAAAAGAAGTTCAGAGCAATGGAAGTGAATCCAAAAGAAGCACGCTCTCGAGGCCAACTGTAAAGCGACGAGCATCTGTCCAGTACTTTTACAAGCAAGTAGCAACCGATTTAACCACAAACCCAAAGAAGGCCACAGATGCAAGAAATGCCAAAACAGAAAATTAAGGCCTGTTTGGTTTTTTTTTTATTTTTTATTTTTAAAAATTATTTTGTAATACAATTTTTAAAATTATTTTTTAAAATAAAATAAAATGAAAATATATTTGGTCATATTAATTTAAAAAAATTTTAAAATTAAAAATAGAACAATAGTGATTATTATATATGGTTAATTATGGTGATTCATGATTAAAGATTGGTCAACATAATTGTAATTTTCAATTATCAAATATCGTATATTTTAAAAATAAATAAAATAAAATAAAATGAAAATAACTTGGAGTTATTTTTAAAAAAAATTAATAAATGAAAATAGTTTTGCAACTGAGTAATTAGAAAACACTTAATTAAAAATGTTTTTAAAATTTTTCTTCTTTCAAAAATTAAAAATAACTTTTAAAAATAAAAAACAAACAGGCTTTAAAGCACCCAACAAAACAAACGAAGCAAGGTTGGTCTATGACAATATGACAGTTCGAATATGAATATATATGTAATATTGATAAATTATAAATTATATTTTATAAGCGATTTTCGTTGACAGAATTACTTTTATGTCATTCACATCACAATGAAGACTCATTGTCGTCAACTAAACATAGCAAAATCAAAATTTTATCATTTTACAATACTAAGTTATCAATAAACTCTGTGATCTTTAATTGTGTTTTGGGTATTTAATTGTTGTTCCACATTTATTTTTTTTAATTGAGACATGAATTATTCAACTTTAACTAAAATTTTACAAATTTTTGGTTATATATAGTTAAATATTTATATTTAAATAAAGTTAGATAATTATTATTATTTGACATTATATTTTTACCAGAATAAAAAATAATTTCCATTCTATGATAACATTTAATTTTAATTTGTCTAAAATATTAAAAAAAATTAAATTTTAAGGTAGTTGCATAGAAACATCCTTTACCTTTAAAAGTTTAAAATTAACCACATTAATCTTTTCTTTTTTATCATAGATTCCTCTGCTATTATTTTTTACTTATCTTATCAACAGAAATTGCCATATCATTAACAAATGGACATGTAGCAGCTTATATGACATCCTATGTAAGCTAATAATAACTTTATAAAAAAATTACCCATATTTTTTTGTTATTAGTGGTGCACATTTTTCTTGTTTTAAAGTATAAAATTTTAGTTATATGATTCCTCTTCAAGTTGTGTTAAAAATAATTAAATTATTTTTTCATGTCAGGTGCCATTTGTATCTCATTAATCTGATACAGAAAATTCTATTCATATGATAATAGAGTTATTAATGGTATGGGGTTTTGCAAATAAAATAAAACAAAACAAAAAGTTAGGAATGTTAATTTTAAATATTTAAAGATAAAGAATGTGTACTGCATTAAAGTTTTGGAAAGTTTCATATATTTTAACCTTTTAATTTTGATGGCCTAGATAGATATTAAGCACAATGTGCTCATTGAACTTAATTTGACAAAAAGAGGTAGATCCACAGGTAATGTACATCAAACAAGTTTTGCCAATATGTAATATAACATTAATAATTAGAAGAAGTTCAGCCCAATCTACAAGCTATACTACAAGGCATACATAAATGCATTGAGGAAATGCATTAAACAAACAAATCAAACAGCCAATTCTTGTTGCTGTTGCGGCTTTTGGTGATGAGAATTATTAGATTCTTCATCATTGGAGCATAATAAATGAGCCTTTAGTGATGATGATGATGAAGATGAAAATGATTTTGCTAAGCTCAATGAAGAATTTGGAAAGTCCAAAGGAGGTTGCATCAGCAGCATTTCTCTGTGGAGATGTGCACTGTAAGCTTGGAAGGTGTTTGGTGTCACGTTTAAGTGAAAACTCATCCCGAATAGGAAATCCAACTCCAGAAAATTCATCTCTATTGTGCTTATTCCTCCAACTTTTGCATAGTATGCATTGTTATAGTACCTGAATATTTGCAAAATCCCATCAAACATGAGGGTAAAAAATTTAGCCTCCTACTTAAAAAATTAGTATAATTTACATATGGTTCCAAAAAATATTAGTATCATACAACTTCAGTTATTAGTATTTGATCCATATAATAATTCTTAGGCAGTGTTTAATACACAAAAAAAAACATTTTTTTTTAAAAAAAATGAAAATGCACGTAAGAAAATGCGATAGATGGATTATTTATTTTCTTTTTAAAAATATTTCTATCAAACATTGCATTAAAGTAAGAATTCAAGCTTGAATATTGTAAATACTAAAAAGAAACTATGTTATAGAGATTTATTTAATGAAGTTGACTTAACCTGGATTCTAATTAGTCAATATTGTATGTCAAATACTGAATTTCTACATGTATTCGACCCCACATTTACAAGTTGAGCTAGCCAATTAATTTTAGAAAATACAAAAATTGTAACTTATTTTTATAATTTTTGAAGAAAAAGGTTCCTAATTTTTTAAAAAAATATAAATATCATTAAAATATAAATATGAGTAATTTGTTGTCATATTTCTTTGACATTTTATCTGTCTAATGGTACTAAAATACATTCTTAAAATGAATTAATACAATTCTTGGACATCTCATGATTGCGTGTACAAATATTAGCTGGCTAGTGTCACATGGTTAGGTTGTCTCTGTCTCCTGGAAAGCCAGCCTGGACCAACTTTGGTATGCTTCACAAGCAAAACCATCTTTAATTCCATTCTTCGAGCCAAGAATAACTTTCCATCTTAAAACTTTATTAAAATAGTTTTTTGTATCTCAAATCGAAAGAATAAAAGAAAATAAACCACCCACATTTAATAAAAAACAAAGCAACTATTAATTAATTAATTAAAACTATTTAATGTTTATTTATAAATAAAATACTTCATAATTAAGAAGATCCAACATGCTTTTTTGAAGTAATCACACAGATCTGTTCTCTAAAACCAGACTTTTAAAAAAAGAGATCAAAACTCATAATTCAACATTAGTCTGAGCATAAAAAAAACTTAAAAATACATACATAAATACACAGAATTCAAATATTGATTGAGTGCAAGAAATCTTAAAAACACACATACATAATCACACATTTCTAAAAAAAGGGTCAAAACTTAAAATAATTCACGATTGATTGAGAATAAGAAAATTTTAAAACACACACATTATCAGGAGAAGAGATCAAAACCCAGAAATAACTCAAAAAACTTGGAAACATACACGCAAACACATATTCCCTACAAGACAAAAATCCTAGGATTCAACGCTGAACCGACAGAGAAAGAGAGACAGAGACTTACATGTCGTCCATGAATTTAGCAGCAACCATGACGCTGGTGATGAGGAGGCGATGAACATTGAAGGAATTGATAGGCAAAGAAGGTTGTCTCTGAGTGAAACGATCCAGATAGACGTAAGCAACAACGAAGCAAGAGGGACTACAATTAGCGTACTTGAAGATTCTTTCGAGGTAGCTATGAATGGAGATCGTGGGTCTGGATAAGCCATGGAAGACAGAGATTCTCAGAGGTTGGTGATTCTGGTTAGCGTCGTTTGACTCAGCCACCCTTTTGAGCAGAGAAGAAAGGAAAGTGATGAGATTCGTCATCACATTTGGGTTCTCAAGCTCTGCCATATCCACCAATCCAAGCTTCTTCTTCAAATTCTCATGTTTCAGAGATGTCTGCGTTTTATATAAACATGAGGTCATAAGGATTCTCAATTTGTTCTGTTGTACACTCATCTAGGACAGAGTGAAGAATTAGCTTTGTGACCAAAAAACCCCTAGGAATTTAAATTTTGACGGACAAGTGGGCATTTATGGGCTTTGTGTCCTTTTCGGCTTGAAAGTGGTGTGTTTTTGAGTTGGGTCATCATTTTCAAAAATTGACTTGTTAAGGAGGGGAAAAAAAAAGGAAGGGGTTATTCAATGTTTAAAAAAAAAATCATGTTTTGTCTAAAATGAGGTCATTATCATGGCAACTTTAAAATGATTATGTTCATTATGCATGATAGGACAATTTCATATAGACTAAAGTAATAAGCATCCTTACAAAGATACATACACGCATGCATGCAAGAGAGAAAATAAGGTTTAATTTAAATAGGACATTAGTAGCATTCATTATTTCCAAAACTTGGTTACCTCACCAGCCGAAAATATATTTATTTTATTTGCTAAGTGAGTTGATGTGAAATTGTGAATTAAGTCATAGAAGCTCACTAATTACATGATAGATCTTATGATTTAAAGAGTACTTGTAAACAATGTAATTCTCTATACATTTCTAAAGTTTATATTGATATTAATAATATTTTTTTATGAAACCATCTAATATTTGAAAAGCGTTATGGGAGTTCGATAATTTGGATTGAGCAAAGAAAAGAGTAATAAAGGTGGAAAAACTCTCACAAAAATTATTTAATTTGTTACTAATCTTTGTCAATATTTCTCTATATTAATTGATATATTTATCGGTAGTTTGACTGTTTTTCTCTTATAAATTGTACATATTCAAAGTATTAAGATAGTGTATAATTAATTATTTGTATCCACAATTGTAAAATTTTTAATAGTAATGTATACTAAATTACAAATGTAATACGTACATTACAAGAATTCAATTACATATTCTTAAATTATAAACATAAATTAATTAATAAATAAAAATATAAAGGTTAATAAAGTGATTTTTATTTTATTGTATTTAAAATTTTTTAAGCCATGGAAAAGGGGGGAGGTGTGTAATAATTTTTTAATAATGTAGACTAAATTAAAATTGTTATACATTACAAGGATTCAATTTTAAATTATAAATATCATATTGATAAATAAATAAAAATATAAAGATTATAAATGTGATTTATATTTTATTCCTTCATTCTGAGGATGCTTGACATGGAAAGGAGGAGAGGCGTGTTGAATGAGGAACGCAGTGGAGATTTGCATAAACGACATGTAGTTTTCAGGAGATTAATTAGTGAAAACGGTGATGGCCAATCCATACGCATCATGTGAAGACATGTGAGAAAATTGTGACTCCAAACGAGTGGGTCCCACGTGGCATGTGTTTTGATTCCGCACAACACAACTTGGGGTGACATAACATGGATTTGCTATGTTAGTTAAAGGCATTACTAAATCCTCTTATCATGTACGTTGTACCCATTTTTCTGCATGCCCCATAAAACAAATACACAGGCCCTTTGGGTTTAAGATCGCTTCATGTGACCTAAATCCATTTTTTGAATAATAATATAATATAATAAGGATATACTTTAATTGAAAATTTATATAATGTTAAGAAAAAAAATATACTCCATCTGTTAAAAAATATAAGGCATTTTTAATCGAATCTCACCCCTCAATAAAATAATTACTTACTTTTAAACTAACTCTATCTTTTCATATTTACTCCTATTAAACACTCTATAATAAATATAAAGTCATTATTAATAGGGACACTTTTGAAAAAAAAAACAATTATTATACTTCGAAAGACTAAAAATATATTACATTTTTTAACATTCAACTCCTCAAAAAATATCTTATATTTTTGAACGGAGGGAGTACTTGTTATGAATGAGAGGTGAGGTATTTATTGTGTCCCTTGGATTAGTCTTACTTAAACATTTAAAGAGATTTGAATTTAATAAGTGTCTTAAGTATATTCATTTAATGAATATCTCAATTATAATTGTTGAATTTCATCAACACTTTTAAAAGTATTAAGATATATTTCTTTTCAAAAACTCAAAACAACCAACAAAATCAAAATATTCATTATTTATATTATTCCCATAAAAAATTTGGGATTTGATAGCTTTTGAGCATTATATAATAAAATATTTGACAATTTGATTAAATCAAACAGTAGTTATCATGTCTTAAGTAAGTGTACTTGGTTCACTTAATAGATCCAAATCCTACTTTATAGGTCAATTCTCAAAAAAAATCATACTAATAAGTCAAATAAATCCTGACCAAATAACATGCATGCATGCATTTGTGGAAGAAATATTTTTATTTTTGAAAAAATAATTATGCTTATTAACATATTTTTGTTATGTTGGTCCAAAGCATTGCTGAATTCTCTGCTTGCTCCTATTTCCCTTCCTGCCCCATAAAACAAATCTATAGACTGTTTAGGTTCAAGATCGATTCATGTGATCCAAATCCATTCTTGGGTTTGAAAATTATTTTTTCTAAGTAAAACATGAAAAGAAATATATTTTTAATGATAATATAGAATAATAAGAATGGGATATAATAAAGATTTATATAATTATTATAATAAAAATCACATAATTTTAGAATTACAGGTTCATGTACTTGCCATGTTATAATTAATTTTGAATGTGAATAATAAAAAAGGTGGAGACATTCAAATAAAAACAAGAGAGAAGCAAAAACAAAAAATAAAGTGGAGACTGAATCTCATTCGGCTTCAGTGCTTGCGCATCACTGTCTTTTTCTCTCTTAAATAAATGTTATTTAACAAATAAATATTATTTAATAAAAGAAAACCTTTGAATAATAAAAAATATACTCCCTCTGTTTAAAAATATAAGGCATTTTTAAAGGAGTTGGATGTTAAAAAATATAAAGCATTTTTAATCTTTCAAAGTATAATCATTGTCTTTTTTTTTTTCAAAAGTACCTCTATTAATAATGACTTAATATTTATTGTAGGGTATTTAATAGGGATAAATATAAAAAAATATCATTAGTTTGAAAGTAGATAACTATTTTATTGAGGGTGAGATTAATTAAAAATGTTTTATATTTTTAAACGGAAGGAGAAAATATTATTTAAGATAAATGATAATTTAATTAGTGTTAATGTGGCTGATTCAATTACTTAATTTAAAAAATACAGTAGGCACATGTAAGAAATTTAGTAAAATCAATTCTTTATATCTTTTTTATCAATTTCTCAAATTAAAATTAAAATTTGAAAAGAGGGATAGTATATCAATAATACTATATATAACAAATATATGATGTAGTTAGAAAACAATACAATTGTTTACAAATTTAGTCACGTGCTAATTATGTTATTGTTGAAAATCTGCACAGTTGTCATGTTTTAACTAGGGAATCCAAATTTGACTAGATTCATAGATTTAGAATCTAATAGGTAAGTGATTGAATGTGTCTATGAGTTCATTGGAAATTGAGCAATGAGAACAAGTATAATTTACTGGGAAATTAAAGTAGCTGGCTGTGTACTATAGAGAAGTACAGCTAGAATGCGATGGACTTTGCTTAATGATGGATACAAGTCAAGTAAAACCAGCTGGGTATTTATTGGCTGTAATTTTTAACAGATAAGACCCCCTTTATTTTTATTTTTGTGGCAACTTGACCTTTTGGTCTAAACAAACAAAAGTCATATTAGTATAGTTTATTCAAATATTTTATTTTATTTATTTTGTTATGGGTTTTCGATTACAAGAATGCCACTAATACACACGCACGCACACACATTATCCTTATTATTTATATGCACTATCATTGGATGAAATTGAATATTGTCAGATATGATTAAAGATGCATTGTTGCGATTTTACTAAGGGAAAATGGGAGAAAATTTTCCTTGTGATATGAAAACAACAATAATATCTCATAAAATATAATAATTCTTCTCAAGTCTTTTGAAATCTTTTTGACATTAATATCTTTTGTGAAATGACTAAAATAACCTCAATTTAAAATAAAAAAGAAATGAATCCAGTGATTAAAAAATTTGCAAAACGAAACCTATCATTTGCTGTCTTATTTTAGTTATGACTTGAAGAAAAAGTAGTAATTACCCAAGCCAAAGTAATCACTAAGATTTATAACTTAAGTGATTAAAAAATTTGCAAAGCAGATGTTGTAATTACTTATCTCACTTTAGTTATTGCCAAAAGAAAAAATATTTATTATTTAAATTAAAATAGTCACTGATATTTACAACACTTAAATTGATTAAAAAATTTGCAAAGTGAAAATTGTTATTTGCTATCATATTTTAGTCATTATCAAAATAAAAATAATTGTTATTTAAATCAAAGTAATCACTAATATTTAAACTGGGATTATTATAGTTATTTTACTAAAGATATTAATGTCATAAAAGCCTCAAAAAATTTAAAAGAATTACCATATTTTACAGTACTTCATTATTATTTATATATTTTAAAAAAAATTTCTATATCATTTTCCTTTTTACTAATGGATGGATGGAGTAAGTTGAATTGCAACACAAGTAGGTGGGCCATTTTTATTGTGGGGAAAAAAGGTGGGCTGGGGCAAGCTTGCATATCGTATAAAATTTGAGAAATGTGTCAAATTTTTCAAGCCTTATAAATAATGTAACTTACTAAAAATTTTATATCATCAATATATTCTTTCCAGTCCTTAATTTTTAATTTTTTAATATAAGGCAAAGTTAAAACAATTAATGTCTTTTGTTTTTTCAAAATTTACCTCTTGTTTATTTATTATTCTTTGATATACTCCCTCTACACTTATTTATAAGACAAAAATAAAATAAATTTTATCCTATTTTTAAGTCATATTATTAAATTTTATTTTAAATTCTTTCTTTTACTTTTCATTACTGTTGAAGAGAGAAAGTATGTTATCAAAATATAAGCGTAGGGATAAAGTCAAGAACTTATTAAATTTTTAGATAGAATTAATGAATTTTAAAATTTTTCTTAATTGT